GACGATATCCACGTCGTAGGGGTCCTCCACGCAACTATCAGCAGAACTACCAGAACAGTGAGAGTGGGGAAAAGAACGAAGGAGCAGAGAACATACCAGAAGGCCAAGCCCAGCAACGCCGTCCCTATCGCAGGCGGCGGTACCCACCTTACTATATGCGTAGGCCCTACGGGCGTCGTCCACAATACACCAACCCTCCTGTACAGGGAGAGATAGTGGAGGTAACATTTGCCTGACATATGATGCTAAATGGGCTTGGTTGCTTTGGAGCAGGGTGAGGGGATGCACCTTTTGACACTTCTTGTAGGTACTCCAGATGATTTAGGTAAGATTCGGCAGTAGTGTGAAATGAAGTAGGTAAAGGTCTTCATGTTACAGCTTCTAAAAACCAAAATGTTTCAATTTGTATGATTAAGTGGAGGATTCTCCATCATGTGTGCACCTGTTCCGTAGAACTGCTGTCCACCTTGACTGAACTGATGACCTTTCCAGCTCCTTTCTCACAGCGTGACAAACTGTGGAGTTAGCACATTTCTGGTTGGGGCTAAGGCGGTCTGTGGCCTGATGTCTTGCAGGGTGCTGACAACCAGGGTGCAGGAGACGGCAGACCAGTCAGGCAAAACATGTACCGGGGTTACAGACCAAGATTTCGCAGGTATGCTGCAGATCAGCTGCTGGTTTTAGCCTTGTTCAGCAACAGAGCCAGGACATGGTGATGCTCAGGTGCTGCATAGTTAAAGCCTAGCTTGACTTTCAGGGGTCCTCCTCGTCAAAGACAGCCTAGAGAGGATGGAAATGAAGAAGACAAAGAGAACCAAGGGGATGAAACCCAAAGTCAGCAGCCACCTCAACGTCGGTACCGCCGTAATTTCAACTACCGACGTAGACGCCCAGAGAACCCTAAACCACAAGATGGCAAAGAGACGAAGACAGCCGAACCACCAGCTGAGAACACGTCCGCTCCCGAGGCTGAGCAGGGCGGGGCTGAGTAAATACCGGCTTAACATCTCTACCATCATCCGGGTGCGTGACCAGGGGCCTGGGGATGCCATTTGCTGACTTTTTCTTTTGTTGCTTTTTATTTGTGCCTTACAGTGTTTGGACTCTTCTTGCTCACGCATGCTGTAACTGATCTGTGAGTGTGTCTGCAGAACTGGACTGCGAGGCTTTGTTGCATCAATGCTGGCTAATTGGGAGGACTTAGTTACAAGCTTTAATTGTCATTGACAAAATACTATTACACTTAAAATCTTGGCTGCGTGCAGTAGTTGAGTTGTACGGCAGTCTCTGCTCACCCAGAAATTTGATTTCAAGTAAAGACTTGAAAGTAGTCAGGAGAAGCACATGCTGGGATTTACCTGACTCCATTAGTGCCTGAGCTGAGCCCCTACAGGGAGGTGAATGGCATTGGGACCTCGGCATCTGTTTCTACAAAGGTGATGCAGAATTAGCAGGAGTGTCTCACGAGCAGCCTTTTATCTAATCAAAGTGCTGGAAAAACTGGTAGAAATGGTGTTTTGTCAGAGCATGTGGGAGCTGTGTTGCAGTGCTGAGATGGGGACTCAGAAGGGTTGTGTGCAGTGCAGGGTCCAGAGGCTGGGTTAGTTGCAAGGGAACCTGTCTGTGATTGGGGCTTGTTTGGTGCTGACTCCTAAGAGACAGTTCTGCTAATTTGGAATATTTTAATTGCCAGGACTCTACTTGTTCTGCATTTCTTGTCACCCATATGTGTATCCCATTCCTTTTGTCCCTTGCTCCTTATTACTTGAAGGGCAGGAAAGTGGAAGAAGCATTTAGACTGTAGTGGGAGCAGTCTGAGTGGTCATATTGATGGGCTGGACAGGGGCTGGAGGAGTTGGGCTGGGAGAAGGCTCAGTGCTGGCAGCAGCTGCAGCCTCTCCCAACTGTGGGGGCTTGGGGACTTGATCTGCATGGGCTCTACTGCTTCATGTTCCACTTGCTGATGGATCATTCACTCACTGTCCAGACTGTGCTGCAGTGATCTCTGTGCACTTTTGGTGAACATTTGTTGTATCCTGGTATTCATTTTTGTGGTCAACACCTTCTGGATGAATTCTTAGAACATGGGCTTCAGAAGAATGTCACAATGTTACCTTGGTTTCTCTTGCTGTCTGGTAGCATTGGAGAATATTTGGTTTAGTTTCTGTGCTTTGAGCAGTGGCTGAACGTTGGCAGAGCCTGGTGGAAGCAGCTCTCCCCATGACGGGAAAGATCCCTTTGGGCTTAAGTTGACTTGACTGCTCTCTTTGGAGTCCTTGGCATTGTTCCTTTGCAAAGGTGGCTGGTGAGGTTGTGGGGGATGGGGCTGACAAGGGGAAGTAGCTGGTGAGGGTTGGGCTGTGAGCTTCTGACAGGCAGCTTAGGGTGAATTTTTGAGTTGCAGGTGAGCCGTGGTACACAAAGCACCCCTGTAACCCTTTGAAAACTGTCTGATCAGCCTTTTTTTTACCTCTTTTTCAGTTTAGTCATCAAAGAAAAGACTTCAAGAAATGAAGAAGAAAATGAAATTCCAGCAATAAGAAATGAACAAAAGAATTGGAACTGAAGACCTTAAGTGCTTGCTTTTTGCTGTTGACCAGATTACTAGAACTATCTGCATTATCTATGCAGCATGGGGTTTTTATTATTTTTACCTAAAGAATTCTCTTTTTGGAAATGATAAACGCGTTTTTTAAAAGCCTGGTTTTTCTCAATATACCTTTAAAAGTTTGTAAATTGTTTCATATCTGGTCACGTTGAGATTTTTAAGAACCTCATTTTTAATTTGTATGAAATATACGCCTGATTTTTTCAAGTCAAACTGCAAGCATCTGTTAATAAAGGTCTTAAAGAGTTACCATGTGTGCTTAGGTGCTTTAAAGGTTTTAAGTATTCATAGAAGGTTTGGGAAAAAAATGACTGATTTACTCTTTGGGCATACAGGCTGGTGGGGTAAATCACAAAAGCTGAAGTAAAAAAACCAATGAAGGTGCAGTTGAGTCACATTGGAGAATGATGGGCAGGCACAGAGGGGTGGGAGTTTCTAGTGCTAGCCCAGTGTGTTTCCAGGAGCTGTTTGCTGGTACAGCTTGGCTGTGTCCTTGCTAGAATACAGCACTTGCAGACCTGAGGTGGTGTGAGGGTGCTTAAAAAAAAAAAAAAGAGGGAAACCCTCCCCCAAAAATGGTAACATCACACATTGGTTTGGGTTGGAGGAATGAGGAACCTTAAAGCTCACTTCATCCCATACCCTCTCAGTGGGGCAGGGACACCTTCCACTTGACCAGGTTGCTCCAATCCCTGTCCAGGCTGGCCTTGAACATTTCCAGGGATGGGGCAGCCTGTGCCAGGTTCTAGATACCAAAAATATCCCAAACTTGTCATTGGGGCTGTGCTATAGCACAATTGCTGCATGAGTGCACTGCAGAGCCAGCTGGGTGCAGAAGCATGGAGATGGAGCTGTGCCTTATAACAAAACTGGCTTTGCACACCACTGCCATGGTGAGAACCTGGTACGTGGGGGCTGCTCCCTCAGCCTGGAGCTCACAGCTGTGCCATGGGCTGACAGCACCTGTTAGAACCACTGCAGAGCACCTGCAGCAGAGGGTTGATACCCAATGGCAGCTTTTGGGACCTTTCACATACTAGTGAGTTCTGTGCTCTTAATAATTTTCCTGTGGGCTCCAGTGTCCCAATCACTCCAGGTGTCCCAACAATCCGAGTGCTCCAGGCTTTGCTCTCTCCAAGCACCTGCTAATGCTCCCACCTGCCCATCCCCTGGCTGTGAGCCATCTGTGAGCATTCTGCCCTCCAGACACTGCGGTTTGACAGCACAATCTCATCTCTGCTCCTTCCTGTCACTCAGTCTTTGGATTTTCTGCTTTCCCAGGTCCCTGGGGTCCTGGAAAACGGACAGACTTGCCCCAGTCATTCCATCTTGCAGAAGTGTGAGAAGCTGCAATAAACAACAGCTTCGCTGCCTTTTGGCTTCATGTGAGGGGGCAGATGGCTCAAGAAGACCCTTACAGCTCCCCTAGGTTTTGGATGCAGGTGCTTTGTAGCCTGCCTGGGCTGCAGGAGCGAGACTGCACGTCTTCACACCTATCCGATTTGGGGACTGACTGTACCCCTGCAACACCATCTGCTCAGGCCTGGAGCTTGACCTTCCTCCTCTCAGGGTGACAGTGCTGAGGAGCTTCTGCTTGGTTTCCCTGTGCTGCAGTTGGTGTCTGTGTGCTTAGCTTGGGGTGAGAAGGGAATGAGGCCACAACCAGCATTCAGTAATTGAGGGTGGTGGGGATTGAGTTGGTGGTCTCATGTTCTGGTTTGTTTTCATAATGGTTTACAAATGCTGAAAGATAATAATTCATTTGGAAAAGAGAATTGCCATTTTGTGTGCTTAAAAACCACACTCTGCTGGCAGAACATCTGCATCAGGCTTCAGACTGACTTATCTCCTTGTGTCTGGTGTGTATGGCTTTGGTGTTCATTCATGATCCCCCATGAAAACATGGATAACTAAGTATTCCAGACTCCTGGTTTTACTCAGTTTTTGAGCACAAGCCTTGTGCTGCCCTGAGTCCGAGCCCAGGGAAGGTTTCCAGTGGGGCTGGTGTGGGAGGGCTACCAGCCACATGGAGTCAGTGCTGCTCCGTGTGGAAAAGACTTCCCACTGAATTCCCCCAAAGCATGGGCTGAGCAATGTCAGAGGAGCTACTCTGCCTTCAGTGTCCTGACAGCTTTCCTGGGCAACAAGGGCATCTTTCCTTAAAGCAATACTTTTCTGGGATTTATTTTCATGACACCTGGCTGGAAGTGGAGGAAAAACCCTTCCCTGGCTGACTGCTGCAGTACCTTTGCTTTTAGCAGTCAGCTGGCTGCGTCAGAGCCTGGAAGCAGCTGCAGAAATGTCTCAGTACAGGTGCTAGTGCTTTAATGGGGTCAGACTGACAGGGAGAGTGTCCCATATCGGGGCTGGGTGCAGGAGGTGCTGCTGGCCATCACACACGAGAATCCATGGCATACATCTTGCTGGTGACTGTCTGGGTGCCCTGGGGCTGGGGATGCCTCTGGACTTGACAGCGGCTGCTGGGAGCTACTGCTGGAAAGAGTTGGGGTTGTGTCATGGCCGGCAGTTGCTGGGTGACTTGGGACTGCCACAGCATGGGGACACAGCGGGAGAAATTAACTCAGCCAGCAGGGTTAACTCCCACCCCATGAGACCAGGCATAAGGATTGGAGATGACTTCTGGGAAGGCATCACCTGCCCAATGTCCCTGGTGGGGGGCTGTATTTCAACCAGCACATCCCTGCAGCCACTGTCTCAGGCTTTGGCTGATGACAGGGATTCAACTCCAGCACAGCTGCTGCTTTGAGTAAACATCAGCACACCTTCACCAGGACCTGGAGGCCCACAGATGTGGATGGATCCCTGCACCCTCTTCATGCCCTTATAGGGTTTATGGGGCCTCTCACTCAGCCCTGTTCTGCCTTGTGTATCCTTCCCAGCCAAAGGGCACAGGGCTGAGTACAGAGGAGTCCCCCTTTGTTAGGCTGGACCCTGCAAGAAGCCTCTGTGCCCTCTGAGTTGGTCCTTCACCCTTTATCCCTGCTAGGCAAAAAGCTACTTGACATAGCATGGGGTGGAATGAAACTGACCTGTGCAAGCACAGCGGCAGCAGGTCAGCAGGACAGATGCCACAAAGCAGCCCATGGAGCCAGCCATCCCCAGCCAGCATGACCACCCAAAGTCATAGTAGACTCCGAGGAATATATTGTGTGACACCAGCATGGCCCTCTCCACGTAGACTTCCACTGCATACCACACGGAGCCTATGAGCCCCAGGATGCCTAGGAGGAATGGGGCTTGTTAAAAAGAACCATACAACATCCCATGCTCCCCAAGCCCTGCTGAAGGGGTGCCACTAGCTCCCAGCAAGCTCCCCAGCTCCCTGTGGGACATGAAGTCTGTCTGCTCCAAAGCTCTCCTAGCCACGCACTCCCAGCGCAGAGTATGACTCCAGCTCCATAGCACATCTTCAGTTTGATACAAGGATCTTCCTTGAGGAACGTGATGCAGTCAAGCCCAAGGACCAGTGTAGCCAAAGCCAGGCAAGCCAGGAGATCTGCCGTGATCATCAGGGTCCGTGTCACCACAATCTTCACTGGGCAGGAAAGTTAAAAACAGCCATAAATGGGAATGAGGAATTATCAGAGGAACAGATGTCTCCAGATTTCTGCCCATGTCCTTTTTGAGTCATCCAGCTCACCACTGGTCATCACACTGGAATCCACCAACCCCATCCCTTCCATGGGCCAAGGGAAGGTGCTCAACAAGCTCATCAGAAACTTAATAAGGACTTAAATCCATGATTAGACCAACTCAAGAAACCAAACAACTCAAGGTATACCCATCACCTGGTATAGCACCTGGTATATGGTTGCCTGCTCAAGCCATTCTTGAGCAGAAGACACTGCTGCCCACACTGTTTTTTCCTCCAAGTTGTGTAGCAGGTGTTTTAAACAGCAAATGTCAATATACCAGTGAAAAACTAGAGCTGGCATGGATCATATCACCAGCTGTGATGGGACTGTGCCCTGCAAAGCTCCCTTCTCCACAGAGCAATGTGGCAGTCCCGCTTAGTCCATACCAACTACTCTCCTTCTCCACTCCCTGAATCTGTGTTGTTCCATGTCATGACCCAACACAAAGGTTCTCTCTGCAGGGCTTGGTGTGCCCTGTACAGGCCAGAAGAAATGTCCTTATCCTGATGTGACTGTCCCTGAACTGTGGGCATGAGTCCTTGGCCAGTGGGAATGGTACTTGCTCTGCCTGCAGCATAGTGGGTTGCAAATCCTAGGCTCTGCATGCTGGAGCATGTTTGTTGTGAGGTGGCACAGCTTCACAGCATCCTTCCTGCCTGATGACCCCAGGCAGGTCTAACTGCCAAGTTTCTGCCAAGACCAGGCTATTGGGGCAGGAGACCAAGAGCAGCCCTAAGCTGGTGTGGCTGACTGACAAAGGGCAGCTTGGCACAATGAAAACCACTTTCCCTCTTCCCTTTCAAGAAGACTCTGAGTTGTGAACTTAATAAATACCTCCAGACCAGGTCAGCTCACCTGGGTGGTCAGCCAGAATTGAGTCATATTGGTCGCAGGTCCTGACCCCGTCCTGCATGTTAGTGACACACTCCCTCCAAAGGCCCCGGCATTTGTGACTTACCTGGAAGCAGGAGAAAGGCACTCATGAAAAAAGCATCAGGGTCTCCCCAGCTTCCCATGGATCTCCCAGCCCAGCAGGGCAGATTTCAGGCTCCCACCACTACACCTGGACAGGTCCTGGTGACTCCTTGCCCATACCTGCTGTCTGTTTTCTCCTGCTCCATCCCTCTATCTCTATGATAGTCTAATCCTTCAACTCAAAAAGCAGTGGGTTTGTCCCACCATGTCCCTTTTCCAAGCCTGTGGAGACATTGTGCAACCTCATAGATGGCAAAGCACCCACCTTGCTCTCAGCTGCTCACCTTGAGGATGATGGTTGCTCTGCTCACCTTAAAGGTGGCTACTCTGCTCACCTTCCAGGTGATTTCTCTGCTCACCTCCAAGCTGTCATCAGCATTGACCATCCAGCAGTCCGTGCACGTGGCCAGGAGTAGGAAGAGCGTTGAGAGAAGAGCGAGCCCAAATGCTGTCACCTGCAGGGCTGCACTCATGGGGAGACCTGAAAAGGCACAGAGATGTTCACCAACTCTGCTTGCTCTGGCTACTTCCAGACACCCGATCTTGCTTACAAGACAAAGTGCCACCGAGGCCAGGCATCCTCTGGATACCTAGGAGTCATCTGGGTCCTGTCTCACAGTGCTCACTTGCTGTCAAAATGCTCTAATATCGTCAGCCAAGGTTGGGCCACCAGGTTTACATATAGAGAGAGCTTTTAGACACACAGTAATTTTGTAGTGGATACATTCCCACTTTGGTTCCCTCTCTTCCAAACAGAAGATGCCAACCATCAGTACTTGCCCTTTGGCAATCAAGAGCTGCTGGAAACCACTGTCAAATAACTGCTGCTACAAAAACCTGTGACCCAAGCATGTCTCCAGGTAACTTCTAGAGACCGCCATCCCTGCCATATGACTTGGTGGGTACATCCTCTGCCTTTTCTTGCTTTTATTTTTCTCCAAGAAAAGCTATGAGGTGTTGAACATCCAGGTTGGAGCATAAGAAATTGTCCCATGGAGGTGTCCTAATCTTAAGCACAAGCCCAAAGATATAACTCCCATTCCAAGGGGAACAAAGGCTGCTGGGACATGGTGTGGGTGCCCTGAGGAGCTGCCAAGGCTTTCCAGAGGAGAAGGGATGGCACCATTTGTTTTCCATCCTAGGTGGATGTTTTCCATTCCTAGATGAAGGGACTCTGCAGAAGGGGGAGCTGTGCCCAAGGTATGAGCAGGGGACATTGTGTCTGCAAATCCTGGGCAGGAATCCTACTTTGTCATGTTTTGCAGCCAAAATGACAAATATTTTACTGCCTGAAGTTGCAACAAACCTTTGGACAGGGGTTCATACAAATGTGTTAATTAGCAAGACCAGATGAGTTTCTGAGCTACATGGGTTAATTACCATGAAATGATAACTCATCATCATCAGGTTTAGTACCTCCAGCCAGAGGCTGCCCACCCTGGCATGGCACAGGCTCCCTGTGGGGCAAAGGTGGGAAGGAGAGTTGTCCCCACACCCAATGTGCCCAATCTCCTGCCACATCCCCTCTTGGCATGTCACTGGTAGTAAAGGCATCACTCTGCCATCATCTCTGAGCACTTCCATCAGCTTCTCTCTAAGTGGTCAGTCTCTTAGACCTCGATTTACAATGATTTTTTTTAATTCCCCAGGCTCCCTTCTGAGCTAATTCCCCAGAGCCTTATTTGTTTCTGCTAGAGTCCAGCTGTTTTGGAGCCTTTGAAGAAAATCTGTTCAACCACTTCAGTTATATAATCAAGAAAAAGGAAGAGAAAGAAATTCTTAATGCTGGGAAAAATCAGCTCTAAACCTTGTTGATAATAAAAGGTGTTCATGGAGAGCATTACCTTCACTGCAGGCTCATCCTTGTTGCAGAGGGGTGAGGACAGAATCTCTTTGTTGCTGATGATTTGGGATAAGGGATGTAGATCTGGAAGGCTTTTAAGTGCTGATGGGATTGGATCCTGACTCATCTAATGGAGTCAGGGATACGCAGCACCAGCTGGAGCTTGTGCTCGGCTATTTAAGGTTTGTCCAAGGTACGTCAGCTGGGTTTTGTGCTCTGAGACAGGATGGGCATCCCTGCAGTTAGAGCAGTCATAGGCTGGGAATGGAGCCTCCCCAAAAATGTCACATGAGGAAACCAGTGGAAACCTGCTGGGAACTCTCCCCAGGTGGGGGACTATGTGTCCTGGACAAATAACCGTTTTTTTATTCGACCTTTCAATTACTGCCTAAGAATGCGTGGCCTAAGACACTGGAATGGCGTAAGATCCAGGAATGATACCTGAGTTCAGAGGGTTGGAAGGGGCCAAAGAAAGGAGCTGGAAAGCCAGGCTGATAATGAACCTTTTTGGCTGGTAATTAAGACCTTTCTTTTTTCCCCATTAAGCAGAAAACAAGTGAAAACCTGCAGCAGACAGCGCCCAAGGAGGTGCCTCTGAACCTGAGTAGCAGCACCCCAGCTGTCTGGCACTTGGAGCTGCCCTAAAAGCTTCAGGTTTGTTCTCTAATCCCCTACTGTTTGGGGATTACACAGGATCTGTGTTACAGCATCCTCTGAGCATACCTGGGCTCTGCCACCGCTCACCCTCATCTCTCATTTCCCTTTGTGGGTCATAGTTGAGATGCACTTGGGTTTTTAGGGTGGGTTTGGGTTTTGTTGTGTTTTGATTTTTGTTTTTGATTTTTTTTTTTCCTCTGGATAATCATCTGCAGCATTTTACTCTGGGCATTTTGGCAAAACACAAATCTTGGCAAATCCTTCAGCCCTGCAGAGATGCCCAGGTGCCTGATGTGTGAGATTCCTGGGGCTTTGAGTTATTTTATTTTCCCCGAATTCTGGCACATGGCAAGTCTAATGCTTTGGAATGCAGCAGTGAATTTAGGCCAAAAATGTTCAGAAGGGTTTGTGAACCTTCATTTTCCAACCTTTACAGATCAAGAATTTATGGTTCTTGGACATCTGTGACACATGAAATACTGTGTGACCCCAAGTGATACAAAACTGTACCTCCGTGGTCTTGGCAACACCTATAAAATAGGTGTATTTATATTTTCTGCTCTGTCTAAACACTCAGTTTATGATACATCAAACGAATCCACCTTGTTAATCCCCAACTGGAACCTTTTTGGGGGTGAAAAGAGGCAGGTAGAGGAGCAGACCTAGGAGTAGTCAGTCTGTCACAGCACAGCTAGTCTGTAGCTGAACTAGGTAAATCTAGCCGTAACAACAAATCCAATTCAGCTGACCTGGCTCATTCTAGAAAAGAGTAACAAAGACCTCAGCCAACTTTGTTCAAGCTTAGATGCAGATACACCACTGGCCAGAGAGCTGGGGGGAGAGATGTCTCATCCAATCAGCAATCTAAGCTGGGAGATTCAAACGCCCTATGAAAAGCGCAGCCATACTAAGCTCAATGCTCTTTGCTGGTGACTCTCCATGGTGTGTCGTGTGTCTGTCTCCAGCCCACGACTCCACAGATCAGTGGTCAAATGATTAAGCTCCTTTCCCGGGTTAGTGACAGTGAAAATCAGATCTTGGGTTTGTCAAAAAACTTTGGTTTGTCAAAACTATGAGGTTTGTCACAACCATGTGTTTAAAAAGTGCTGACAAGACCCAAACCTTGAACTTCAGCAAATATTTTACTAAAAAAAACCTGGTGTGTCTGGAAGGGGAAAAAGATATTTTCTGAAATGGGAAAATCTCAGAGAACTAGAGAGGACTCAGTAGATGCTGTAGGGGCAGGACAGTGAATAAGAATTATTAAAATCACCACCAAATTCAGCCATGTCTCAGATGTGTGAGAAAAGCCCTTCTGCAAGCCTGCGTGTGGGGGTCATTTTCCCTTTCCCCTCATTTCTGCTGTAATAAATAGGTATGATTCATGCTGACAAAATTGAAACAGTAATCAATATTGATACAGTAATTAATATTTAGAAATAATGAAACAGTTAAAGGTGTAATGACAAGAAAGGGAGAGGAGGGGCTCCCCCCCTTTCTCCTGCAGATGTTTAGAACAGGAAGAAGCAAGACATAACTATTACTAAATTTAGTTGGAAGAGAGGAGAATTTGGTTGGACACCAGGAAAATGTTAATTATATGAGATTTATTGCTTTAATGTTAGAACATAATACTGGCTTATACTATACCAGCTTGGTGTGCACATGTAATCCAAAAGGTGAACTAAAGGACACCGAGGAAGAGTAGAGGCCTTCCTCAAAGAAGACCTCCAAAGAGTGGTACGACCCCCCTAAAAGAATGGTGGAGTATGCGTGGTAAAGGTGATTATGAGGGTGGAGATACAAAGTGTGACAAATTGAAAATGGGAGGAGATGGTGATGAAGTACAGCATAAAAGAGGGAATTTTGGCTTGGGAAGCTTGTACGTGAGGTGACGCGGGTCAAGCCCTGCCCTCTGTACCCCGCGGTTATTTTTGCTTATGCACTGTTATCAAAACCAAATTATTCCTTATTTTAACCAAATTATATTGTCAATATTGCAAGTGTATTCAATTTTATATATTTTAAGTTACTTAATTAAAATTGCTGTTACGTTTTTGTTTGGGGTTTTTTTTTGATGGGATAATTGGGCAAATATAACACTGCCTATTTAAAAAATGACTGTTATTTCACAGGGGTTTGGCTGAAAGCAAGAAGTATGACCCAAAATCTCAATTCTGCTCATTAAATTGGTGTCTTGATCTGAAAGACAGGTGTCTGCTAAGGAAGGCAGGAGCCTCCCTTGGAATGGAGAATGTAAACCTCCTCCCCCCGAATTATTATAAATTTGAAATCAAGGGGCTCTCAGGCAAAGATATGAGGATAGGAATAACAATTCTTTACTAGTATGTATAACAAGGCAAACAAAACAGTAACTATGATATTAATAACAAACAGAACCAGGGACCCAGTAAAAGCCTTCTTGGCTGCTGGCACTTTCCTCTTTGGTGCAGTTACCGTCACAGCTGGCAGAAATGAGCAAAAAAATCCTGGGATGGTAGACTAGATGTATTAGAAGTTCCACAGTGGTAGCTGGAACTCAGGGACAGTGCCAGCTACAGCATGGAGAAACCCAGAGCCGGACCGAAAAAACAACTGCCCGGCTCTGAGCAGGGCAGGACAAGGCGAAGTTCAGGATTCCCAGGGCACACGAGCAGATGGTGATCAGTCCCTCAAGGCTGAACTCGGGCTATGTCAGTGAATTCTCCCTTGCAGTAAGCGACAGCCTGGCCATCCTCCTCCGATGCCAAAGAGCAAGAGCACCCAGCTGCCCCCCAGCCCCTTCTTTTTCACCTGCCCCCATTCTCATGGTCCCCGAGAAAAAAAAAGCTATAGCCAGATACTCCATTCTTCTCCTGACTTCAGACACAGTCTTTTGTCTTTTTTAAGTATCCATAAGTACCCATTAGTTTGTTTCCTAGCAACTTATGGGGAAAAATAAAATCTGTAAGTAAAAGAAAAAGGAAAGAAACCCAACCCTCAACAACTGGTTTAATGACCAAAAGATGTGTGTTGGAGGAGGGGGGGTAAGTAACTCTGTTTCAGTCTGCCTGTGCTGTGAACAAAGGCAGACCCCTGTCTTTGATGTGCTTCCAGCATGGGTGTCCATCCCCAGGGAGCCTTCAGGTGACAATTGGAGATGTCACAGCAGCCACCAAGGACAGCAAATCCCTGGGTTTGAGGTGGGATGGGATGTATTTCTGGACTAGGTGTAGGAGGCAAGACGACGATGCTAAGACGACACATCAGCCATGAAAAAACCTGGATGGAAAATGTTAGGGATATGGTAGAAATTTGTGCCTATGAAATACAGATATATGTATCAAACATGTTATTAAGGGGGGGACCAGGGTTTAATCCTAGAATGATGATACCATGGCTGGCTGACAAGGGTGGAACACGGCATTAACATACGAAGGAAAACTCGGCTGCACAGGAGATGGCTGTTCACGGTGGCATGTACCCGAGGATGCCCAGTGATGATGGCCCATGAAGATACACATCTGAGATAACCAGGGCCATCAACACCTTCCACCTGAATACAGGATTCCAGGAATTGGAGGAGAAACATCAATCTCTTCCCTGACGAGGTTTTGTGCAGCTTTGAGTGAAGAAAGAAACCAACATGAATATGATGAACTTTGAAAGGAGACCAAGGGACTCTACCGCGGGCAAGAAAAAGAGTATAAGAACTGTCCCTGCGGAGCAGTAAGTGTGGACGGAGGGGGATTCGGTGCGATAGAGGCCGGATCTGCGTTCACCCAGCCTGTATCCCGGGGTCTGCCCTGTCATTTTTGATCGGTGGCTGTCGGGACTGTAATACGGTCGCAAATATTTTTTTTTTTTAATTTTTATTATGATTACGTCCATTTTTATTTTTACTTATAACAGAAAACATGACCTCTGAAGCAAAACATGCACAGCAGGGGTCAAGTCGCTGCATAGGGGAGTAAAAATCAGCTTAAATTAGTAAACACCCAATTAGGCACAAGTCAGCTCTGAATTACTGGGAAATGGGAGAAAGCAGGAAGACTTCAGATATGAGGGTTCATAAGAGGGCCCATAAATGGAAGATGCTGGTGGCATTTCAGCCTTGGGAAGAGACTTGTGGAGGGGCCAAGCTGGATTCCCAAGGATTTAACCTGAAGAAATTTCTAAGACCACATCCCCACCTTTGAGAGCAACAGGTGGCAAAAGACGCAATATATTTAGCCAGGAGGGCAAGAACGGTTGAGGATGGGGGAGAGGCTCCTGCCACAGTGCAGAAGTGGCTCTGAACCAGCACCCAAGGTGACTGGTCCAGATGGGGAGTGAGGGGAGATCAAAGAGACAGTTCCAGAAAGATGCCCATCATTTAAAATATTTTAATACTGCCAAGTCATAATTTTAATTTAAAGAAAAAAAAAAAAAAAAAAAAAAAAAAAAAAAAAAATCCCCCACCTGTCCCATTTCCAAGGCCATGCATCCCATGGAAAAGTTAATGAAATTTATATTAATAGAATAAAAAACATTTTACAAAATTCTTTACACTGAAATATAAAAAGGCCTTTTTAGTGTGTGGGGTTTTTTTTGGGGGGGAGGGGGTTGTTTTTGTTTTTTGTTTGTCTGTTTTAAAGCACAAGGTTCCTTTTCAATCCTTACTGCAGTGGCTTTGGTTGGTGTTTTTCGGATCCCAAAATCTGGGTTCAGCACCTGATGGGTGATGCCAGCCTACAAGCACTGCTCTCCTCTGAGGTGTGACAATTTTACAGGGGGACTGCAACTTAAAAGAGATAAAGGCAGTTAATGCCAGGGAGAAAGAGAGAAATCAGCCCCCCCACCCTCAGGAAAAAAATAGCATTTCTCCTCCAGCACAGCCAGGGACCCAGACCTGGGCATGGGCATAACATCAAAGAGAGGGAAAGGAAATAAAACAGAAGGACAGAAAATAAAAAGGAGAAAAGAAGAGTAAAATAAAATAGAGCAAAATAAAACAGAGAAATAGAGAATAAAGTAAAATAAAATAAAATGAAGCAAAATAAAACAGAGCAACCCAAAATTTAAAAAAATCAGCTTTCTCTTCATATTTGGGTTTAAAAATAAAATTAAAAAATAGATAATGAAGCTGTTTGGATAATTTCCAGTGTCCTTCCCTGTGGGTTGGTTAGCACAACACCTGCAGCAGGGCTGAAGTACAGAGAGTTTGGAGGATTTACAGATTAAATTGGAGCTTTGGCAGTTGCAAAACAATTAATAGCAGTAGAACAGAGGTATGAAGCGATGGAGGCAATTAGCAGGTTGTGTTTGGAACCTTCACTGTCTGCTCTAGGGGATCTTGGCAGGGAAGAGGGATTTGGACCCAGCAGGGAGGCACCAAAATTCAGGGCTCTGTCCATCTGCCACTCAAAATACTTGTGTTGGGCACCAAAACTAAAAACAATAAATTTGTGTTCATAGCCCCTTTTTGCTGCTTTAATTTGCCCAAACCCATTTATTGTTTAACAAGACACAGACTGGTCCTGGACAGGAACGAGTCCAAGGCAGGTTTGGGCTGGCAGAGCTCAGCTGGAGAACTGGCCTCCAGGCAGGAATCAATAATAATAATAATTTTAAAGTGTTGCTTTTCAGTAGCAATGAGGCAGGGTAATGCTGCACCCTAAAAGCATCCCTCTGCCAAGAGCGTGGTGTGGGGATGCTTGAACCCCGAGTTGGGCTGGTGCTGTTAGAAGTGAAAACCTCATCCAAGGAAAACCAAACACTGGCTTTCCTCCCCGCTTGCTCCTGAAAACAGGATGTGGGAGAGGGGTGGCCATGGTACAAAGCATCTCTGTGCAGCACACTCCCGTGGGATTGGCCAATTGGCTCTGTGCCCCTGTGCCACTGGCATCAGCCTCCCTGCATCACCCCCACAGAGTACCTGTGACAGACAGACATGGCCTGGCCACATTGTGGGGCTGGGGGTGCCACCCCGCCCAGCTGAGGAGAACACGGCAATGATGGATATGGGAGGTATGATACTTAAAACCTCTACTTTAGAGGCTGGCACTGAAAATGGGGCTGAAACCTGGAAGACAAGAAGGAGAAAGGTCTCATGGGGCATTCAGGGTCCAGGCAGGGTGGGAACACCAGGGTCTTGCCTCTTTTTGGGAGGGAAGGGAGGCACTGGGCAGCAGGAGCGCAGGGTTGGGCTCAGATGTACTCCCGGGCTGTGGAGGGCTGTGACTGCTGATGGTACTGCTGTCCTCGGCGCTCCTTGGCAGGGCAGGAGCAGCACAGGAGGGACCCCCCCAACATGGAGAGGCTGGCAGCCCCCCAGCCCACGAAGAGAGCAGAGCCAAATTCGTACCTGTGATGAAAGAGGTGAGGGAGCATCAGGGAGGGGCAGAGAAGCACAGGTGCAAACTGAGATGGGCAAAAGGATGCTCGAAGCCCTGATGAGGTGATCAAGGTGACGTCAAGGCAGATTTTGGTTCTTCCCTTTCCATCCTCATCTTTCCTATTGGCTGTATCCAGCTACCACATGTCCACATCTTTTAATCCTCCCCTGGGCTGAAATTCCACATGTGCACCACTACCCCATCCCAGCTGGTAACAGCTAAAGCTTTAGCATCAGGGACATCTTCTGCAAGGTGGACTGGCAGAGGTCCCACCAGTGGGGCACATGGGCCCACAATGCTGTGTCTCACCAAAACCAGCAAGGAAAGGTCCACTGGGAAGTGCAGGGACAAGAGAGGATTCAGAAGGGCACCCCTTGAGCCAGGCTCTTACCTAGCGTTGATGGGGATGGTGCTCTCTCTGAAGAACTCATAGGTCACCTGTGTTGCATACAACGACACGGCAGCCAGTGTGCACAGACCTGGGCACAGAATCATGGAATCACAGAATGTTTTGGGTTGGAAGGAACCTTTAAAGATCACCTGATCCAAAACCCCTGCAGTGCTAGGGTTGTCTAGCTGTTCCACTATACATCAAACATTGACTGTCAATGACATCCAGCCCTCACCAAACTGCTCCCCTTCCTCTATCAGTGTTGAAAGGTGTTTGAGGATTCCTGCATCAGTGATGTATGAAGGCTAGAGCTGCCTTACCAGAGAGAATGAAGAGAACACCTCCAGCAACAGCTATGCGGCTTTTGGTGACAGGATCCTCCTCCCCAACTTTAGTGCATTTCATGCCCACCACGCTCACGATGATGCCAAAGAAGCCCAGGAGGAGAGAAATGACCATGAGAGCCCGGCATGTCTGGATGTGAACTGCAAGGGGGGAAGAAAAACTGCTCCCAGCAGGTGCCTTTGACCACAGCCAGGCACTGGAAGCAAGGTCACCGTGTTCCATGCTGGTGATAGGTCTGTCCTTAACCCTGTCCTTGCTGTGTAGCTCCCATGTCATATTGTCCCCACTTGGCAGATATGGGGACCTCAGCTCAGCTCAAGGCACTGCTCCCAGTGTCTTCCCTGACCTTCCTCCCTTCCACCCTCATCTTGGTCATGACTGGGCTGGGCTAGGAAACACCTTGCCAGGAGCAGCACCACAGTCACCAAATGCCAAAAGGGTGATGCACAGTCACAGAGCTGGGGCGGGGCGGGGGGGGGTGGTGTGATGTCCCCATGGGGCACTGTTGGTATCTAAATGTGATGCCCACATTGGAGCCCCCACCTGCTGGGGCCAGGAGCATCCCAGCCACACAAAGGGGCTCAAACCCACAGGGCCAAGAGGGGCTCAGTCCTGGGATGGGGAGGTTGGAGCCCAAGATTCACAGATGGAGAGGGAAGCTTGGACCCACATCGAGGCTCAGCTCAGTGGATGAGTGGACCCCTCTGAGGTGGGGGGTCAGATCTACAATAGGGGTGGGGGCAAGAAGGTTTGGACCTGAAAGTGACTCAGGCTCCAGGAAGAGCCAGAAGAGCTCAGATGCATAGGGGAAGGAGCATCCAGACGTGAAGAGGGTACAGACCTGTTGGGGATGTGTGTTCAAACTCATACAGGTGGGTTCAAACACGGAGAAGGGCTCAGAGCCATATGGGGGAGGGTGAAACCCACAGCGGGACTCGGACTTACAAAGGGGCAAGGGCATCTCAGGATCCCAGGGGAGCTCAGACCAAGGTGGAGACGGGAATCAGGGACTGCACCCAGGAAAGGAAGCGGGGTTCATCCTACGGGGCCCCGGGCTCCCGTACCCACCTTCGAGGGAGAGCAGCGAGTCGTGCAGGCGGCACTGCACCTGCCCGGTGCTCTGGGCGGCGCAACTCATCCACAGCCCCTCGTGGAGCCCCACGGCCGTGATGATGGCGTCCCCGGCGTACGAGCTCTGCCGCCACTGCGGCAGCACGGCGGCCGCCAGCCCCGCCACCCAGCCGGCCAGCGCCGCCAGGTACCCGGCCAGCTCCCGCGCCCCGCCGCCCATCGCCGCCGCCGCGTCCCGCCCCGCCCCCGGCGGATGGAGAGGGGCCGTGGGAGGAGGGAAAGGCCGGAGGGGGGGCTCTGAGGGGGAAGACGGGCCGGAGGGGTGGGGAGCAGGGCGACGTCGGGGGAGGATTTAAGGTGAAGGGAGAGATATGGGTCTTGCGCGGGGAGATTTAGGTCCCGGGGGGGATTTTTTTGAGTCTCGAGTGGGAGAGTTGGGGCCAAGGGAATGGGTTACCTGGAGCTTAGGGGGAATTGGGTACCGGGAGGCGGGAATTAGAGGCCTGAAGGGAAGAGCATTAAGTCTGAGGGGGAGATTTGAATCTGAGGAGAGTGATTTGGGGCTGGAGGCAAGGGATTTGAATCTTAGAGGGAAGAATGTGGTCTTAGGGGAAAGATTTGGGGCATGGAGGGGATTTGGGTCCTACAGGGGAGATTTGGGTGTTGAGAGAGATGGAAACCCCTGAAATGACAGTGGAGAGATATGGGGAAATGGGGCTCCCCGACAGGAGGAGGGAGGGGTTTAGTGGGAAGTTACCATCCTTGACCCCCTGCTGTGGGCTGGGAGCCCCCCAGAGGCCCCAGGGGTCACTCCAGGAATTCAACAGGGAGCAGAGAAACAGTTCATTCAATGAGGGAATTCTGGCACACCACGCCATCATGGCACCAACAAGAGAAGCCATTGTCAGTGGTGTACGCCTGTGGGGGTGTGCGGAACACGTGTCACCACCCTGGTGACACCAAGCCCATTGCAGCCCCAGGACCTGGCAATCGTTAACTGCCATGGCCTCATCAGCAGTCTGCTCACGCGCTCAGGCAGCTGGGGGTGGACGCTGGGATGGTGGGCAGCCTCCACTGGGACTGTATGTTATCCTGGAGAAAAGATCCTCCAGATTCCCCCTTGCCCACCCCAATGGTGAATGGCCCTCCAAGTGAGACAGGGGTGCTGAGCGGCTGCACACCGGGCAGGATTTATTTGCCCACATTCCCGGGATGGTTATGGTAATGGCCAGACATCTGTGGGAACAATTCAATGCCCTGTCCGGGGGTGCCAGGGTGCTCAAAGTCCTTCTTGTTCAAGGACAGTTCCCTCCTTGCTGGAATGGTGGGTTCCTTCCCACGTTATAGGAGCGGGGTCCAGGGGATGCTCAGCTGGAGATTGTATTGCCCTTACTGCCCCAGGGGCACCTTGTCTCCCACAAACACCTTTGTGGAGCTTACAGGGCTACAGTACTTCTGGGTAGATGCTTGCCAGGAGGGAAGGTTGCACCCCAACACTGATGACAGCCAAAGGGTGATACCAGCCTTCAGTCCCCACTTGGAAAGCAACAAGTTAGAAAAAAAAACACCTTTATTCACCCATTTTCTGCAGAAGGCACTTAAATAGCTCCAAGTTCAGGAAAGGCACACATGTTGGCACCAGGGCCCCACCCCTAACACAGCATCCCTCCCTTGTCCCCATGTCACCCACCCCTGAGCCGCCATCACACTCCCCAGGTCAGTTCCACAGGGAGATAGTGGATGCTGCAGGGGTAGTACACGGGATTCCCCAAAGCCCCATTCCAACTGGGTTGGGGGCAGAAGGGGTCCCATATGTTACCCTTAGGACTATGCAGCCCGAAGCCACAATGCTGACATGACTAGTCCCAGCAGAGACGTCCTGGTCCCCATAGGATGTCACAGCTCATCTTTCCCCACCACAATGGCAGCTGGTGATTCCTGCTCTGGCTCCAAATCACCCTCTTCCATGCCAAAAAGCATCTTCACCAGGTCATCCGCCTGCACACGCTCCTGTGGGCAGACCCATGGTGGTAAGCATAGCCACTGCCCCACACAAAAACCCTAGGTGCTGCCGGGAGGGAGCTTACCCGCTCACTGTGCCGAGGGTCCAGGGTGAACCAGAGGGCAATAGCGCAGCGCTGACCCTTCGTCACAGCTTTCACCCCATGGGGGTTCTCGGAGCCAGAGGAGAAGCCCACAGCACGGCCACACTGCGGCTGGACCTCTGCCTGTCAAGGGTGGGAAACCAGGAGACCCCAGTCAGGGGTGCATTGGTTCTCCTCAACGCAAGTTCATCTTTTGCAGTGGCTCAGGGGATGTTCCCAGAGCACACAGCCAACAGGCAGGAGCTAGAGTTGGTGCTGCACATGGATCCTCAGAGCTGAGCTACTCACGGTCTCAGTCTTGGCATCCAGCTCGGTAAAGTAGAAAGCTCCTCCTTCAAAGTCCCCATTAAGGTAGAGGATTGCACTAAAGGGAGCAGGGGACAAGTGGAGGTGACAAGTAACCATCACTAGCACTCCCCAACACCATGGCAAGAGCCAGAAGCAAGAAAGCCCAGGTTTGGTGCACCTCCTACCTTGCTCCTCCCAACTCAGGTGCCACCAAATCAAATGGTACCCTTAGGTGGGGAAGCTGCAGCTGACAGCCACCACCAGTACCTGTAATCCCGGAAAGTGTAGGCTGGGGGTTCCTTCACACATAACAGTGCCTCTGCATTGAGAATGCAGTTGTCCACATGCACCTCGTGGCTGTTGTCACTCCGGCCTTCTTGCTTCTCTAGGGTAGAACAGGGCATGTCAGGGCCCCTCTGTGCAGCAACAGGGTCCACCCCAAGTATCTTGTGCTTACAGATGACAAGAGTCATGTGTTAGCCTAAAGCATTTCCACTTGTTGGAGTGTGGATTGTGCAAGGCCATTTGGGTGGCATAAAAACACTGTTGACTTGTCCCATGGCATTTCCATGGCCCTCCAGGTACAACCTCTCTTAGTACTCATCCCAAAATGCCTCAGAGTGATGAAATCCTGTATGGCATGAAGCCATCTGCCCTGTTAGAGGCAGCAGAGCTGCTGCTCATATTCCCAAACTGGGCTTAGGGACAAGCTTCCTACACCCTCCTGGGAAGAGGAGGTTGGGTTAGGGAGCAGCAAGGAGGTTTCTAAAGAAAGGTCCAAGACTACACCACTCCAGCTGTTAGAAGAGATCCAGACAGGAGAAGACCTGTTCCTCTGGGCTACACTCACCATCAATGGCTGTGCGGCACACTAGGTGGGAGTAGGAGAAGTGGAGTGGGACCTCCAGGCGGAAGTAGGACTCAATCATGTGCCGCACCTTCTCTGTCACGTTGTAGTACAAGTAGGCACTGTGCAGGGGCACCTTGCCCTCCTGCCCCAGCTGTGGAGGACAGACAGGACAGGGACTCAGCCCCAGATGGGCATGAGCAACCATGTCCCCCAAAACTACCCTCCCTTGTCCCTACAGCCTGTTTCTCCACACAGCCACCCCAACCTTGAGGGCCTTGAGGACCGTCACGCCATAGAAGGTCTCGCTGGGAGTGTGAGGAGAGGTCTTCCCCCGATAGCCATCTCCAGCCGAGGCAGCCGCCTGCAAAACTCGATTGGTGTTACTGGTCTGATGTGTGAGCTGCAGGATGGGACCCCTGGGCATTCTCTACCCATCCCTGCCTGCTACACCCATTCTTGCACTCACGTTAGTGAGTCTCTGCAGTTCTCGGCACTCCTCAGCAGAAAGGACTCCATCCACCACGACACGCTGGGAGCCATTCAGGGCCTTGGAGTTCATGGTGACACTGGCTCCTTCGTACACCAAAGGGCCACCTGTGGCACAAACGGGATTGGTGGAGAGAGATGCCACCAACTCTGGTGTGGCTGGGGGAAACCGTGGTCCCTCCACCTGCTCCTGCTGCCACCCATGTGTGGAGGAACTGTGAACTGGCAGCAGGGGTCACAAAGGTCTCCATCCCACCTCCCCTCCTGGCCTTCTCCACCTTCTCGGATGAACTTGCTCATGTCGGCAGACTCTTTGGTCTTCTCCTCCACCAGTGTCTCAATCTCCTTCATGAGGTTGCCGATTTCCTCAGAGATGCGTGCTGCTGTCTCCCGCTCCACCCTGGGCATGCAGCAGCCATCAGCAGCAGCACCACCACCCCACTGTCCCCACATCAGAAATGAGGGCCACTAAGACAAGGGCAGGACAGGCTGTCTCAGGTGCTGGTAACAAAGCTCACACCTAGACTGGAGAGAATCACCTCAATGTATCCCTCACTCTGAGGTGTTTGGGGTGACCTACACGTGCCCATCATCCCATGGGCTGATAGGAAATAAAGTTCTGCCCTCCAGCAGCCTCTTCCAGTCCCAATATCAAAACATCCCCTGGCAGAAGCTCTATGCCATGTCCTTTGGCCCAAAGCCCACAATGGAAGAAGGGTTTCTCCTGTCCGACCCCCACTGGGTGAACTTGGCTGGGGACAGCACTCACTTCTGTTTCTCTCGCAGTCTTTTTGGTATCACCTCTTCAGGTGTCCATGTGTCCTGCCGCCAGAAGAACAACATCAGGAGCTGGACAAAGATCTGGCCAGGACACAGACCCTTCATCTGCCTTCCATTTGGCCACGGCATCACCCTGGTCTCACATCACCCACCGGGTCCACAAAAGGGATGCCAAAGACGTCATAGCTGAAGAAGAGCAGTTTCTTCTCCATCAGACTCTGCTGGTAATATACCTGGATCTCCTGTGGCAAGAGGAAGAGGGATGGGATGAGGTACAGCAGGAGGATTCTGAAAAACCCTGAGTGTGGGCAGGAGGATGCAGGTTTACACCATTCCTGTGGTCCTTGCTCCAGACCTGCAGCCTGGTTTCCTGCTCCATCTGGCAGCTGGGAAGCAAGTGGCATTCCCCATCCTGTCTGAACCTCCCTGTGGACAAGCCCTGGGGAGATGACAGTTGAGCAGAGGCCCATGTGTGTCCCTTCTGCAGGAAGCTCTTTAGGAGCAATTTCCCTTCTCCTACTCCAACTGGTGTGGGGCAGAGACTCCTATCCACGCCTATCACATCCCAGGCAGGACCTGACCATCGAGATTTGGCTATTTTGAAGCCAAATACTTTCCTTTATAAGCAATTTCACTTCATTTGTGGAAAAGTGCAACAGAGGTGGCCTCAGATCCTCCTAAAAAGATTGTCCACCTGCCTCTCACAGCACCCTCTATCAGGAATGGGTCCATGTGTGCCAGTCATGCCGCTTCACTTGGCCTAAGACATTTTGCCAGTGATGTTTTTCAGCTTTTCAGCTACTTTCCAGCTTGTCTGATCTTAAATCCACCCATTCCTGTCCACCTTAGGTAGCTGGCATGGAGGAGACCATACAGCTTCTGCAAAGGTCCCCAGTGAGAAGATGTCCCTACAATCATTTGTCCTTCTGATTGCTCACCTCTCGTGGTTGGATGGGTCTGGCCAGGTTTTCCCCCAGGACGGCGGTGTAATAGGCCAAATTTTGGTTCATCACCTCGTCATGTGGGAAGAAGAGCAAATAGGTTTTGGCGCATTCAATGGCTTTTTCATAATTCCCATCTGCAATGAGAAATGGGGCTGTTAATGGCATGTCCAAGGACACTGGAGGCACAACAAAGACAGATATGGAGGAGAGATGAAAGACATAGTCCTTGTGTTCCAGACTGTGTCATGAGTAGAGCAGATCCCCTGGAGCAAGGATAACTGCTGCCACAAAGGCAAAATTCAGACTCTGTTGTGCTCTCCAGTCTCCAGAAACCATCACAACAGAAACCAGGGGTACTTGTATAGCTTGGGTACTTTTCTCACTTGGAAAACATTACAAAGCCTATTTAGAGGTAGCCAGACACAACCATTTACTGGCAAACCTGCAGTTTCCAGCCACTGAAGCATCCTACCCAACTTTTATGTGGTCTTTCACAGAATCACACAATCACAGAATGAGTCAGATTGCAAGGGACCACAGTGAGTCATCTTGCCCAATCTCTCTCCTCAAGCAGGGTCCTTCAAGAGCATATAGCACAAGACTGGGTCTAGATTGCCTGGAATATCCCCAGTGAGAGAGATGTGACACCCTCTCTGGACAATCTCTTCAGACTGCAGTTGATGCAAACGTCCTCATAGCCAGGTGGAACTTCTTAGCCATGAGTTTCTGCCTCTTGTCCTATTGCTCAGCACCACAGAGCAGAGCCTGACTCCATCCTCCAGCACTACCATGCAGATACTGACAAACATTGATGAGGTCCCCTCACAGCTGTCTTTTCTTGAGGATTTCCATCCTCTTGGACTTCATATTTTTCCCCTCCTTTTGAAGAAATTCACACAGAAACATTTTAAACTTTTCTAAAGAAGTAAATAAAAAATGAAATCAAATCAGGTGTATTTTCCTGGGTTGTAACTCTTCTGCAGTGGGAGTGTGCTGCTGTGATTTGAGGCAAGAGGTGGACAGCTGGCAAGGAGGGAAAAAAATATGCTTCTCTTGGCTGTTGTTTCACTTGAAAAGTGTAGCTGCCCAGTAATAAAGCAATGTGGAGAGTGACTGCAGCCAAGCACAGAGAGATCCCATCTCCTGGAGAATGTTTCAGGCGGGAGGAACATGCCTGTATGAACCTTATGAAGTACAAGGCCTAGTGGAAGGCTCGCCACCAGTATCAGTGAAGATGGGGGGATGGATGGGATTAGAGCACCCAGTGGAGAAGGATATGGAGATAACAGTGGATGAAAAATTGCACAGGACCCAACCATGTGCACTAGCAGCTCAGAAACCACTCCCCCACCACAGGGTGATCCCTAGCAGCATGGGCAACAGGTGAGGGAGGGACTCTGCCCCTCTGCTCCACTCTGGTGACATGCCACTTGCAGTGCTGCGTCCAGCTCTGGGTTCCCCACATAAGGACATGGACTCATTAGTGCGGGTCCAGAGGACTGGAGCCTCTCTGTGAAGAAAGGCTGAGAGAATTTGGCTTGTTGAACCTGGACATGAGAAGGCTCCTGAGAGATCTTGATAGCCTTCCCATACCAAGAGCGGCCACAAGAGTGATGAAGACAACTTTTTATAGTTTATAAGGTTTATAGTGACAGGACAAGGGTAATTGTCTTAAACAGAAGAAAGGCAGCATTAGGTTGGCCATAAGGAAGGAATTTTCTCTGATGAGAGTGGTGAGGCCCTGGCACAGACTGCTCAGAGTGTTAAGAGACCGGGTTGGATGGGGCTGGGGGAGATCTGAGTGACCAGTGCTGGATGTCCCTTCATCTCTGGTTGTACTGATGAGATTATTTTTGAAGGTCCTTTCCCCACCCAAACCACTGTCAGGATCTGTGATTTCAGGCACAGTGCCGAGTGCTGACAACCACAGAGGATGAGGTGAGGAGCTGCTTACTGTTGTAGTAGGCAAACTGCAGGTAGTTGAAGTGCGAGGGCAGGAAATCCTCCAGAGGCTTCTCTTGGCCGGGCTGGGAGGCCAGCTCTGTGACGCAGCCCTGCTTGCAGCTTAGCACTTGCATGGAGTGATCTGCCGGAGAAAAATGCCATGTCACTGCTCACAGTCACCCACAGGCTGATGGGCAGGACCCTGAGGGGTATCCAATCTCCTGCTCATACTGGGGTTGTTGCAAGCTTTTTGGTAGTGGAAGACCCTCAGGGATGGGGGTTGTCCACCTCAGAGATGACCAGTGTGGGGTTGTGGTGCTCCCTCAGGACAGACTAGCCACTCTCAGCCTCCCATCACATCTTGGTGACCCTCTACTGGCCTCTCTTCTGTCTTTCCATGTTCTTCTGGAATTTGGAGAATTCCTGGGCATCAGCCCCAGTGCCAAGTGCAGGTAAACACCTCCTGCCATTTACTGGCCACCCCTTCCCTAGTGAAAGCCAGGATGGGGTTTCCACTCTTCAGGGACCCCCTACCACCACCACAGGTCTTTGTGGACCAACCCCCCCAAGAATTGTATTCAACTCTTGTGACAGGACACAGAAGAAATGGCTCCCACCTGTAATGGCCTGGAAAAGGTCTGCATTGTACTCAAGGTAGTTGTAGCCCTCGTAGTCATACGGTCCCTCGCAGAGAGCGCGGCACTCGGTGTCTGCCACAAAATACTCCTCCAGCGCCTTCTCCAGGTGCAGGATGGCAGCAGCTGGCTGCTCCTCTGTGTAAAACCGGACGCCCAGCTGAAATTCGCTCTGCGGAAGGATGAGAAACGATGAGGGGATCTCAATGCTTCACTCCCCATGATGGATCACCTCATCCCCACCACAATGGCATCTCATGAGCTCTCTGAGCCAGCAACTGTGGTGTGATTGTCCTGGGTTGCACAGCGGACAGGGGCTTTGGGAGGGGAGGTTCTCACCAGGTGGGGTTTGGCCTCCAGGTCAGTGAAGTCATCCTCGTGGACTCCCACCATGGCCTGGTAGTACTCCAGGTTCTGCCTCATCTCTTGGTGCCCGGGGTTGGCCACGAAGAAAGTGTGAGCGGCCGCCGCCGCCTGCGCTGGCCGGTTCATCTGGGTGGGACGGGGGTGAGACAGCGCGGATCCCATGTAGAGCGGAGGGGACACCCTTCCCCGGGGCATCCCGGCAGCCGGGGCGGAGGGCGGCGACAGGGGCGGCTCCGGCCAGCTCCGACGTGGCACTGGTGGGGGGGGCGAAGGCGGGGGGGCAAGGCCGGGACTGCCGGCCGGCAACCCCACTCCGCTGGGGCAGATACCGAACCCCCCCGGCGTCCCGGGACAGGGATCGCCACTGGCCGGTTCACCCGGTCCCACCCATCCATCCTCCCGCCTGATTCCGGGATCCTCCGTGCATCCCGCCCGTCCCAAAACCCGTCGTAGCGGGACACCCCTTCCCTTCCCCCTTTCCCTTTTTTTCCCCGCCGCCGGTGCTGCACCTTGAAATAGGCGACCTGAAGATAGTTGTAGGGGCTGCGCCGGCCGAACTCCCGGTCCAGCTCCTCTCCTAGGCGGTACCGGGAGGGCGCAGCGGGCCCGCAGCCCCGCAGGCAGGCGGCGCGGCGAAGCAGCGCCCGAAAGAACCGCAAGTCCCGGAGCACCGGGTCGGGATGGGACTCGGTCCCCTCCGCCGGTCCCGCTGTGGCGTTGGCGCAGCGCAGGCGGCACCGCATCAGACGGGAGCGCACGGCGGCCCGCGCCCGCAGCGCCCGCTCCATCTGCAGCACTACGGTGGGCCAGTCCCCCCGCGCGTACGCCTCGGCACCGGCAGCGAACAGCGCGTCCGGGGACTGGGCGGGCAACGGCGGGTCGCCCGGTGCTAGGGTCGGGACCGGGACCGGGACCGGCTCCGGTGGCGTGGCCGCCCGCGCCAGCAGCACCATCAGCAACGCCGGCAGCAGCAACAGCAGCAGAAGCGACGGCGACAGCGCCATGACCGAACGCCGGCCGAACCGCGGCACCAGCCACCCCGGGCAGCGCAGCGATACTAACTCCGCCCCCTCCACCCCGCCCGCCGGCCAATCAGCGACAGCGGAGCCCCGCCATGGCCGCATGCCTCACCGTGCGTGCTGACGCCTCAGCGGAAGCCTCTCCACCGGGCGGAAGCGGTGGGTCGTGGCTGTCCATGGCGGAGGGCGGCGCGGAGCCCGGGGATGACGCTCCCGCTCCCGCTCCCGGTCCCGGTCTGGCTCTGGTCGAGGGTAGCGCCGGCCGCGCCGGCCGCGTCGGTGACCCCGGGGACCTAGTGGCCCTGGCCCAGCAGGTGCAGCAGGTGAGGGCCGGGTCTCAGCGGCGGAGCTGCGGGGGCACGACTGGGCTCACGCTGCCTCCCGGACGTCTCCGGGGCCTTCTCAGGCGGCGGCCTTGGTGCTTTCAGCACGTCCCGTTGCTCCCCGGTGGCCCCGGCGGCCTCCTGGTGTATCCTGTGCTGTTTCCCACTGTCTCCCACTGTCCCCTCCCAGTATGTTGCAGTGCCCTGCCAGTATCTCCCGAGTTCCCACGTTGTTGGTGTCTCCAGAACGTCTCACTGCACTTCAGTGCTTCCCACTGTGCCTTGCTGCCCCACAGTGACTCTTAGAGCATTCCACTGAAGTCCCATCCCAGTATGCCCTGCTGCTTCCCAGTATGCCCCACTATATACAGTTCACAGCAGCATGTACAGATGCCTCCCACTACCATACTGCCAGTCCATCCTCGCACCCTTCATATGTTCTGTGACTGCTTCAGTGATTCTCAGTACATCCTGATTCTCAGTTGACCCCAGTTTTTCCTGGTATGTTCAACTGGTCCTCCCAGTGTGCTCCAGTATGTTATACTATTCCCCCCGTGCCTCATAGGACATCCTACTGATCTCTGGTGATGTCCCCCAGAGCTTCTCAGTTCACCTAAATGCTCAGTGTATGTCCTACTGCCCCCTCCCTGTGTATCCCACTACCTCCCAGTCCAACCCATTGCCTCCCAGTATGTCCTGCTGCTCCCTCTCACTGCCCCTCAGCCTATCCAGACAGCTCCTGGTCCTTGCTTCTGCCTAGGGGTGCCCGGACAGCTCCTGCACCCCCCAACTCTGTGGATGCCTTCAGCTTGACCATAGCTGGCTCAGCACAGTCCAGAGGGCTGCGGTTCTTTCTGTTCTGACCAGCCCTGATTTTCTCTCCTAGGCCAATGACTTTGTTCGAGCAAATGCCTGCAGCAAACTGACAGTCATCGCTGAGCAGATTCGGCACCTGCAGGAGCAGGCACGGAAGGTGAGTAAGGATGGGCAGAGGGCTCATTGCCCTGCCATGGGAGATGAGCATCTGCTGCCACTTCTGGGCATTTGGGGAGAGCTGTGGCCTACATGTGAGTTGGGGCCAGGAGCTGAGCAGAGAAGATTTAGTGGAAAAACAGGGAGGTTTATTGTCCAGTGTCAAGGGGGATGGGGGAGCGTTGATTTTTGTGCTTTCCCTGTGTCCTCAGCAAACCAAGAAGGACTTTATTAATAAAGTAGGGGAGCAAGGGCGGGTAGTCCAAAACAGCTCACGAGTATCAGGACAGAGAGAGGTGACTCTGGTTTTGGGACAGGTGACTTGTGTGTGCACTGTGCTCTTGGAATGATCTGATGAAGTGAGGATGTGGCCCTAACTGGATCTGAGGCCCTGGGATAAAGTGGTGCGCTTCAATGGGTTCCTCTGTGAGCGACTAGCGCTTTTGGGGCCTGGAGCACGCTCACTGTGATAGGTGACAACAGAGGCAAAGAACAGGTCTTTGTATGGAAGTCTGTGTATGGAAATCCAGGGACAGTTTACCAAACCACAAAGGGAATCCAGGAACAAGGACAAACTGGGCCTGAGGGCACAGGGTTTTATATGGTGAAAAAGGGGTGGCTCTGAGGGTTAAAGTCCAATGGGAACAAGTGAAAATGGTGCAGAGGAGGGGCAGCCAACCAGGGGAACCAATAGGGTAATGGGGGTGGAACATTGCATCAAACTGGGATCAATGGGGATCAGGAGAGGGGAGAACATTCTAGAGAATATGCATATAGGGTGAATGGGGGCTGCACTGGGGTGGAGCAACTGTATGAACCAATGGAACTTAATATATTAACATGTGCCTGCAAAGGCCTATGGGAGTGAGGCATTTCTCACCCTAAGAGGGTGTTTCTCCTTGCCAGCTTCTGCCTCCCCAGGGTTAAAGGCTAATAGCCCGAGTGGTTGGTTCTCAGGCCTCCCTACTGGGAAAGATGAATTCTCTATCTAGTAATAAGCTTGGTTTCATGTCAATCCTGATGCATTTGCTGGAGTGGGTGGTCCCAGGAATACACAGCAGGGCTTGGCTGTGTTCATCAGTCCAGCCTTCCACTGTTAGGAGTAAAATCAGGAGCCAGAGTGGGGGAGGATCTGCCAGTCATTGCAACTGGCCCACTGCCATTGAGGCCATTACATCATGTAATCATTAACTGGTGGAGCTGGAGCAGTCAGGTGGTGGAACTGGGGAGATGAATTCTCCTTTGTTTGCTGCCCCTTCCCTTTCAGGGCACAGCAGGAAGGGCTGTCTTAGGTTGCAAATGCAAGTTGTGGCTGGGGGTGTGTATTCTATTACTATCTGTCTGAAGTGGGGCAGTTATCTTCTGTTAATTGGGCTACCTGCTAAAACCAGGTGGGGCAGTTTTCTTTATCTCTTCCATGACCCATCCTCCCTCCGGGAGATACCTTCTGTCAATGGGCCATTGAGTGTCACTGCATGACTGATAAAATTACATCATCCCATTGGGAGATGCTCCACCCAGGGGAGGAGCCAAGCATTCCTACCTGGCTATAATCTGACATTTGGAACACCATAGTCAGCCTTTTCCCACTGCATTCCCAAATGAGTAGCTTTCTTTTCCACTGCATTCCCAAAGACCAGACCCATCTACACCACCACTGGACCTTCAGAGGAAAACTACACCCTTCTACAGGATCACTGCTTCAGCAGAACAACACTTGTCACTCCAGTAGGACTGCAGCCATTATTTAATCAGACTGCTACCAACAGCCTGACCCACAGGGTGTCAGGTCATATTTCTGACTCTGTCAGTGTTGTTTTGTATTACTGCATTCTTACTTTTATTTTTTTTCTTAATAAAGAAGTGTTATTCCTACTCCTGTATCTTTGCCTGAGAGCCCCCTTAATTTCAAAGTTATAATAATTCGGAGGAATGAGGTTTACATTTTCCATTTTAGGGGAGGCTCCTGCCTTCCTTCTTTTCAAACCAAGACAAGGCCCCAATCCAGCAGCTGTCTGTGGAGATGAGGAATAAGCCCAGCATGTGGTAGGATCAAGTGTAGAAGTGAATCTGGGGTGAGGTGCAGAGGTATCTCCACCTCAGTGGAGAGATTCTTTGAAGTCCTACTGACAGGGAAGAATTGGAAAAAACTTTATCTCTTTGGAAAACGTCTCCTTCCTGTGTGCCAGGGAGATCAAGGCCTTGTGACCCATAGGTCAAATGATGTGACTTGGGCTACGGCTGAGAGGCAATAGCATGTTGTCATTTCAAGTGTAAAGGTGTCAAGTTTTGTGTATTCCAGGTCTTAGATGAAGCTAACAGGGATGCTGATCTGAACCACGTGGCCTGCAACCTTGTGAAGAAGCCAGGAAATGTTTACTACATGTACAGGCGGGAGAGTGGGCAGCGGTATTTCTCCATCCTGTCTCCTAAGGTGGGTGGTTACAAGCCATGAAGAAGCAGGGAGGGGGAAAAAAGTAATGTTTCTGGCGCTTGGGAACATACTGAGCTCAGGCAAAAGCACCAGCTTGATGGGGGCATTCATTTGTCCCTACTCAGGTTTGGTGTTTGCCCTTGCTCTGGGTTAGTCTGCTGGGGCCAGAGCCATCTTATGGAGTTCTCTGGCTCTTGATGGAGAATGGCAAGAAGCCCTTTGGCGCACGGACCTGAATTTTGTCTTTTGGTACCTGCAGTTTTTGTCTGGAAGTAAAGAACTGCCAACATGCCCTGAGCCTTCCCTGGCTGGTGTGGCTGCCTGGCAGGACGGTCTTTTCAGGTACTTCAGCCCAGGAACTGAGTTTGTCTGCAGCTGAGGGGATGGTCTTGGAGTTCTCCTCCTTCCAGACTACCCATTTTCTTACATGCAGGGTGAAGGCTTCAGGGCAGGTCAGGGAGATCTTATGTCCACAAGCCTTCCTCTGTCAGCAGTGCTGGAGCTCGGCCTGATCTTGGACTTGGGGTAGCTGAGCCTATTTTTAGGTTAGGAAATGGTATGGTCATGTAGGGGGGACTGCTTCGAAGGTAGTAGTGTTTAGGGACACCACAGCCCAGCTCCAAGGGAAACTGAACACTGATGGAATCTCTCTTTTCTCCACCAGGAATGGGGTACCGCTCCCCATGAATTTCTTGGTGCCTACAAGCTCCAGCATGACATGTCCTGGACTCCGTTTGAGGACATAGAGAGACGAGATGCTGAAATAACTGTCCTGGAGAAGCTCCTGAGCCAGCAGGCAGCACTGCCCCCGTGCATGGAGCCCAACTTCCAGGGCTTGACCAAGTCACACAAGTGACCACACAGGACCCCCTGAGCAGAGTCCCCGAGTGAGGAGACACAGTGCCTGTACCCTGCCAAAGGCAGGGTGGAAAGAGACCAAGAAACAAAAATGCTGATTTCTTTTGTGCTTTAAGAAGACTAATTCTGAATTCAGTCTTACTGGATTTTCTAGTAATTGAATAATTTGCTTCATTGACCCATGCTAAGCTGTAGCAAGAGGCAGGTGATACCAGGAGGTGTGAGCTCCAATAGTGCTTGGAGCAAAAAGCAGAAATGCTTGGGGCAGATGCTAATGCTGTAAAATAATATCTCCTACCTGCCTGGCTCTGGTGTACCTCACTGTGAGAGCATCAGGTAATGATCTCAAGGCTGGATTTTCCCCCTTATTAAAATGCACATATTTAGAGAGCTCTGTGGCCTGGGAAGAGTGGTCAAAAGCCTGTGCAAAGGGTCTGCTGTGATGAGTCCTCTGGTCTCTGTCCTAGCAGGTCTGAATCCCTGAGCTGGGAACATGAGGTGACCAGAAGCTCTTTTCTCTGGAAAGAACATCCTCAAAAGGGCCATGCAGACTTCAGGTGCTCTTCAGATGATGTGTACCTCGTGCATTCCCCCTTGGATTTGAGTGCATGAGCTGCCAGGCAGAGGCAGAATACTGGATGACTTTATGGCAGAGCAGTGGGGTGAGCAAAATAAAGCAATTGTGATCTCACATGTACCACCAAGACAGGCCCTGTGTTCTTCTTGTATGGCAAAAATACCTTAAGCTTTTGCCAGGAAGACTTAGTGGCACGTAGAGCTGGTAGGACACTTCCAGCATGTTTTTTCCACCTAGGAAAACTAGAGAGAAGTAAAAATCAGAGCTGCTGAGGAGATATCCTCCCTCTGCCCAGCCACACAGGGCTTCTTCAGGAACTTGTTTGCTTTTCTGTGAGGAGCCAAAGTTGGAATTTATTGATAGAGAGGATGTCCAGGTTGGATCCTGATATGTAACATTAGATCTGGTCGGATTCTCCCATGACTTGCTCACTTTCCTGACATGACAAGATGATCTTATATGCTGCTCCACACATTGCATGTGCACAATTGCCTTGCCACCTCTATGGGAAACATAAGGAGGGTTGGGGACCACTTGTAGGAGCTGAATTCTGACCCTGGGGTCTGGACAGGCTATGGATGCAGTTGGTGCTTCTTGGTGGAGCCCAGCTGTGAGGGCATCTGCAAAAACGAGACCCTTGGGGGCCAGCACTGTCACTGTGTTTTGCCATTGCTGGAGTTTATTCCCCCTTTGCAGGACACAGCCTCGCCTCAAATCTCTACTGTCTCTCTGTCCTCATCCCCACACACTGGGAGTTGCCTTGGGAGATGCTCAAGGCTGCTGGCAGTGACAGTTCCTCATGGGAAGAGCTGTTTCCTGCTCGCGTTACAGAGGATTAGGAGGTTTGGGGCAGCTCCCTAGCAGCCCAGGTTTTTTTTTGTCCCAGATTTTCTTCTCCTAGCTCTGCCCATTGCAGTAGCTCACCTATATCCCAGCATGGTGGAGCCTCTGTTTGGCAGAAACCTGTTCCTTGGACTCAATATGGGACATTTTCCTCAATATCTTTCCTCACTTGGAGCACAAGAGCATATTAACAGCAATTTAATATTATTAGTAGTAATAGTATTAGACCAGGCTATAATTAATTCCTTATCAAGTTACAGGTGCTGAATTTGACAGGCTTTTTCTCTGCTTTTTTATCACCTTGAGTCTGATTTTACTGCATGCTATTATATCTTAACTTGGAAGGGAGAAAGTTAATTACTGTATGGACTTTGTGTGGTGCTAATTATAGCAACACCGGATCTTCTGTCTTGATGTATGCTCCTCTGGGAAGTGAGGATTCCTGCCCTGGTTTTATCTGTTTCCATCATTAATGTCTGTACCATGGCGTGCACAAGAGGATTGGGGGTGGTGGCTGTGGACCTCTGTAGCCTTTGGTGGGATGTCATATGTGTCCAGCAGACACCCCTGGCCCTCCATACCCCACAACTCACTGGTGTTCTGCAGTTCCTCTTGGCACTGTCAAGTCTTTCTCTTGGATTTGCCCCCAAAAAGCAAAACCACTGTGGCTTTGTATGGAAAGACAAAGGAGGTCTCAAGAGACAGGACATGGAGATGATGAGCTCATAGTCATGCTCAGTGTTCTTGGCACTGTGGGAAGTGGGGAATGAGGCTGGTGCAGGACGGGGTTGATGGAAAGGGGAACCATTCCCCCAATATTGCTTATGCATTGTTGGACTTCCAGAAATACTGGAAGGTGCTCTAGAGCCAAAGCAACACATCATCTGGAACACAGACCAGGATGAAGCTGGTTGAGGTGGAGCCTCCTGTGATGCTTGGCAAGGATGAGTTTCTGCAGGAATGGTGAGATGGTGCCCTGTGGGGGACTCCAGGGTCTCTCCAGATTCTTGATCTCATCTGCTCGGCTCAGCCTCTACCCAGCTGGTGCCTTTTTGGTTGACAGGGCAGGGATTTCATTGAAAATCATCTGGAAGAGACAGTGAGACAATTATATCCATTCATGATTTCATCTTGAAAATTCTTTTGAAAATATTCCTTTTCCTTTGCTTTTTTGTGAGTGCTCAGGGCAGCAATGAGTATATTCGGAAGGCAGTGGCTCTTCCCAAAATCCCCAGGGATGTCCAATATTTGCAAAAGGCACAGATGTGCTTCTGACACCATTTCATTGGGCAGAGTGGGTTTTGTTCTGTCTTTGGCCATGCAGATGAACCAGGGCTCATTTAAAAGGTCCAACACAAAGATGCTCTGAGGGTTTGACCCATTCCAGGTGCTCCCCAGAGCCAGTGTTTGGTGACTTGAGGCTGCTGGCACTGGTACTTACAGCACTTTCCAGCTTTTAAAATTTGAATTACTCTGGGGTTTTCTGTTTCAGGCCAAATTTTTGCTTTGCTTCTCAAAGTAGCTGTGCTTGGAGAGTTTCTTTCTGGCCTCTTGTTACTAAATGATGGGGATGGTTAGGGGGATTTAACCTGCCATAAGTGCCCGCTGCTCTGGGGTGTCATCTCCCAGCCACGAGGAGTGTCCCAGCAGGAGGAACTGTGGGTCTTTGGCCTTCTTATATCAGCTTCAGGTCCAGGGAGAAAAGATTAAAAAAAACCAAACAAAAACAGCAACAAAAACAAACAAATAAAAAAACCACCCCAAAAAACCCAGACGGAGTTCGGGCGCTGCCCAGGCGAGCCCCACGTCGGGCAGGCCGTGCCCGCGCGCGCCCCCTGCCGGTCCGTGCGGCGCCCTGCGCGCAGCGGCGCGTGGCCGACAGGGGGAGCTGTAGCTGGCACGCCCCTCGCCGGCACGCTGCGCGGTGACGTCAATCGGCTGCCCCTGTGCCTGCGCCGAGGAGACCCCGCAGTGAGCTGCCAACGCCCGGCGGAGTGTCCGAGGTGAGAGTGGGGGNGGGGGGGGGGGGGGGGGGGGGGGGGGGGGGGGGGGCGGGAGGGGGGCGGAGACGGGACCGGGACCCCCGGCCGAGCACCGGGACCACCGACTGGTCCCGATCTCCGCGCGGTACCCACCAATGGACCCCTGGCCTTCACCTCGGTCGGAGCGTCCGTTGTGCGGGAGCCGCCCTGTCGGGCCCGCTGTGTGTGTGGGGCCTCCTCGGCAGCCGCCTGCCGGGGGGAAGGGCGGCCTCCTCCCGGCGGGTCCCGGTGGCTGCTGGCGGGCGCTTGCCTTTGTGGGCCTGGTCTGTTGAGACGGTGGGCATGGCCGCCGCTTCTCCTGCCCACCCTTCCCCCCGTTCCGGGCGGCGGACGGACTGGACCCTCGGAGCGGCGCAGGAAGCGTTCCCGCGGCCATGGCGGGGCCCGCCCGCACTCCTTGAGTCCTCCCGTCCCAGCCCCGCCCTGTCCGTCTCGGCCCCAGCCGCGGCCCTCCGCCCTCCGTGCAGCCCGGCTGCGCCCGGGGCTGTGGGAGAAGCCCCGAGGGGCCGCGGGCCGGGCGAGGTGTGCCGTGCTACAGGAGCCCGGAACCGCAGCGGGTGCGGGCATGGCGAGGGGTTAAGCTCCAGCTATGTGCCCTGCACAGACAGCGCTCAGTCGAGAAGTCGCAGACTCTTCTGGGCATCTGTCTCACGACCTGCCCTGCTGTGTGTTACCCAGAGCTGTCCCACAGCTGTCGTTACAGCGTGATGCCACTGGCTGTAGCTGGGGCAGGAGCTAGCACTGCTTTGAGGGTTGGATGTTGACATGTGTCTTTCACTCTCCTTGGAAATCTCATAAAAATGTATATACTGCAGCAACATAACGCCTGTCTGTGTTTTAAAGATCTGTTTTAGTGATCTAGACTTCAGTTGTGTATCTGTAAGTAGATAGAACTTGCAGCTGGTGACAGCAGTAGGAGAGAGTTGCAGAGCCATGTAGCTGTGAACAGAACAGCCAGCACTGGAAACCTGTCCTTAACAAAGAGTGCTCAGGATTCCTGGTGTCCTTTCTGTGTGGATGCTGTGGCCAGGGCAGTCAGAGCTTCCGTCTTGACAGCAGCATGAGGAAGACAAGCTCTGGCGAAGAGGCCATGTTAGATGGCAACTGGGTGATCAGATCTGGATTGTCTTTGTGTCGTATTCATCTGTGCTTCTTTCCCAGGGAAGGAGGTGTGAGCTGTTCAGAGTATTGAGTTGCAGTGCCCCAAACGCTTTTTTTTTTTTTGCCCCCCCTTTTTTTTTTTTTTTTTTTTTTTTTTTTTTTTAGGGGCATTTAAAACCTGGATCAAGCTCTTTGTATTGCTGATTTGGATAACTCAGTAAAGCATTACAGCTTCTCTTTTTCAGTAAGCAAATTATATTCAGCTGGCTGTATGTGAGGAAGCTGTTGTAAACTTCCCTTCTGTTGTAAACTTCTGCTTTGTAAACTGTTGTTGGTGTAAGGTTCTGAGGAAGATAGTATAAGCAAATGTATATTTGAGTCAGGTCTTAAACATGCATGTAAGGTTTGAATGAGTATATTGCTGACTGTAAAAATGGTTTGGTGTTTAAACTGTTCTCATTTATGCTTCAGTAAGAAAACAAAAAAAAAGGATTTTTAAGTCTTGGCAAGGAATAAAACATTACTGTGGTGCAAGATAAAACATGTTTTCACTTTGGTAACATATCCTCGGCAGAAATTTTAATCACTAGATTTGCATACTTTGAACATGGTTATTCACGACCTGCAACTGATGCTCTGAATTCATTAAGTGCTCTGCTGTAGAATTGTTTGTTTGCCTAAAGCTGATGGCCGGCCTGGAGAGTTAATGGTGTTTTTACTGTTGAAATAAAAAAAGCTCTGGAAGTTCTAGAGTGTGAAGTACCTAAAACAGAAACTGTCCTTCTGCTAAAAAAAACAACAGTAAACAGAAATGGAGCCCCTGTGAAACTCCCAGGGATTTCTCTTACAAGTGTGCTGTGGGCTTTCCTTGCTGTAAACCGTGTGTGAGGCTCATGGAAAGTGCAGCATGAAGCTGGCCACTAATCTTGATGTAAAGTTTCTTTTTGGTTAAAATGCAGCTGTAGTACTAAAATAATTTTCCAAGTCTTTTGAGCATAGATAGCTGGACCTTACAATTAAAACCTTTTCAGCAGCTCTCTTGTTACCATGGGGGGTTGGTGTAGCTGGGTTCTAGCTCTGCTGTTAGCTCCAGAAGACTTGGACAATAAACGGACCTCCAGCACTACAGCTGAGGTTTATGTAAGATGTTGCAGGTGAAGTGTGTGTAATCTGCTTGATGCCCATGTGAGTGCTCATAACTTTTGAAAGTTGTCTGTGGGCTTGTGTGTTTTATCTTGCTCATTCCTCTGCCTGCTCTTTGTGGTCAGCCGAGCTCTTCTGCTGTCCTTTGACTCCATCATGAATTTATGATATGAGTTTCTGGAGCAAGAGAAAGGAGGAATTGTAGGGGGTGTAGTTATCCCTTTTTTCCCCTTTAGGGAAAGATTCTTTGCTGAGGAAAGAATGACATCTTTTTCATTTTAGAAGATTAAAGTTCTGTCAAATCAAATGGAAGTGAAATTGGTTTCTGGTGCTTCAGGTAGCAAGAAGCCCTCTTTAACCACTTAGTCTTCTTCCTTTGCTCCTTTCATACCCTTACATTAAATGTAGGTGAAGGCACCCTATTTTCGGTAGGTAATATGGGACAAATAAAACAACTTATTGACCAGATAAGCTTTTATGCAAAGTTTTAAAAGAAATTTAAAGTATCTTTACATTTCTGCAGCCTGTCACCATTTAATTGTCTGGTTTCCTCCAGATGCTACGCTTTACACTTTATTATGGTGTTACACTATACAAGCTAAGTGTATATCCATCAGGAAGGACTGCCATTAGGAGTGGTAGATAAAGAAATCCCTTTCTCCAGAGTTTCTGCAAGGCCTGAAGACTGGCACAAAAGTTCTTCCTCCTTGGGGATGTCTGGCCACCCCAACATAGTGGTCAGCTGCCTCTTGCGGCCCATAGTGTGTATGTCGATACTTGAGGTGAGTGACAGGAATGGCATTAAGGCAGGTAATTCCCAGCTTCTGGTGGGGGATCCTTTAGGTTGCTTTTGAGTGAACAAAATGGGTTTGGTTACCTGGCCGTGGGTGTGCAGGAAACTGCAAAGAGTGAGAACAAGAAGCAGAGTTTGTGTAATTAATCTTTGTAAACTCCCCTTGGAGTTTCAGAGAATGACTGATCTAAAGAGTTGTAAAACTTCAGAATACTAATTGGCCCCTTTTCAGTAGAGCAGCTGTTCTTTCTGTGAGAGTGTTGATTTTTCTTCTAAACAAATGGTATTTTATAAAGAGAAAACAAAGAATTTGTTTTTAAAAGCTGTTATTCTGTTTAAGCTCTTGTGCTGCCAGTTCACCCCATTACTTTAGAGTGTTGTGGCATAATTCCTACCAGGAGAGTTGGTCCTTGCACCATTTTCTTGTCTCATAAAAAAATACAGAAGCTTTTTAAATAATGTGGGGGCTTCCTTGGGGCTTTTGTCTGGAGAGGGTGTATAGGTACTTCCAGCTACATTTTTGCCAAGTTGTCCATGCCTGTGATCAGATCTAATGGGATCAGCATGTGTTTTCCGGTGTAGACCAAACTCTGGCAGGTGAAGGTTTTTACCAAGCTGAGGTGATGTAGAGCAAGCCTTAGGCTGCTGTGGATTGGGACCGGTGGAGACCCTGGGGGAGCTGCAGAGGGTTGCTGTGGCATGTGTTGCTAGACTCACAGCAGTAGCTAAGGCTGCCACAATTGTCTTGCTTTGGAACAAGCTGGTTTGAATTGCTCAGCTCTTCTGAAGTTGAAGGATATTGTACTGTGTTTCTGGCCTCACTCATGATGAGTGTTCTGTTTGGGGAAATAATGACAAAAATGCTCCTGCAGCTTTGCATGCAAGTCATGAAGGCCTCTGCTACTCCATGAGCTGGATGACTGCATGCACCAAAGAGCGGCTGGAGAACAGCTCAATGCAGAGGGGCTTGTGTGGGGCCTGGATCTGACTGCATCAGTGTGTTTGAGCAGTTACCTTGAGTTCAGTGGTACTTCAGGGTTTAGTGCATGTGAAGTGTTGTTGAATCTCCCTTGTCCTGGAATACTTTTACTTTTTCGTGAGCCTCTTGTGCATCTGGCAATGGTTAAATGACTGCCAGTTGCCCAGCAACTTGGTCCGGAGGAGAGGGCTGCTGGGGCTCATCTTGGGCTGGGCGAAGTGGGGTGGTTCCAGCTGTTCTGGTTCCTTCTGTTGATTAGGTGAATGAAGGGCAGCTCCCCTGCTGCTGTCATGGTGTTGGTGAGCCTTCCAGCTACTTTGTTTTAACAGTGATCCAGGATAGCTCAGTATCTGGAAAAAAGTTGCTTTTGCAGTGTTTTTTAACCAGGCTTTATCTTTGGAGTCTTCAAACAGCATGCTGGTACACAGCCTGAGCTATTCTCCCTGAACACAGCGCGTCTTCCTGGGAACTTCCCATTTGTGTGGATGGAGGACCTGCAGCTATCCTGTTCCCTAAGCATAATAGGGGTAAGCAGGATCTGCTAGAGTGTGCAAGACAGGGTGCTTCTCATGAAGGAAAAACATGGCTCAAAATAGAGGAACTTCTGCCAATGTGTTTTCTAACTCTGTTTAATGTAGCTGGCCAAGGGAAAGTGGGGAGTACCATCAGGGACATGTGGACCTTGAATGCTGTGTCCAAATAAGAGTGTTGGTGCAGCTGATATTTTAAATGTTATCAGTATATAACTAAGTTAGTGAAAGTAGGGATTTCTAAGTGGTAGTAAAAATATTGAACAGGATTTTGTTGCGTGGTTGAGGAATACAGCTTCCTGTCGAGCATGAAAGTGAAGAGTAATAAGATAAGATTAAAATAAAATGCCTTTGGTAGAAAAGGACTTAATGTAACCCCACACACTTCCCAGTGCTTAATCTGGGGCTGGTTTTTCCAGTGGTGATGCTACTTTTGACAGTGTAACCTTAACCAGAGTGATAATGGGGAAGTTGTCACTTTTTTCTGTGGAGTTTGTGTTCAGGTGAAGGTGGTTGGTTGGAGCCTTGAAGTGGGATAGTGGGAAGTACCTGTGGTAAAGGAGGTGCAGGCACACCTGCACCACAGTGTAACTGATGTAGCAGCAGAGTCTGCTGAGTCACACTACCTAGCTGGTCAGCTTTCTGGTTTTGAATTTAGGGCTAAAATGGGGTGACATATTCTTCCTCTTCTTTTTTTGAAGTTGCAGAACTTGGAATATGTGTTACAGTGCTGCTAGTAGTTTGGGCTCAGGCTATTCAAATTCCCCTGCCTAGCTGTCTTCACTTCCTGTCTTGTGCGTGTATGTGCCAGGTGGTTGTGAGGAGTCTTTAGGAAGATGTGCAAAGTAGCTGTCAAATATTACAGAATTAGAAAAAGAAAATTGCATTAAGTATAGAAAATATCAGTTGACCTCAAACAGTGGGTCCCTTCCAACTCAGTATATTCTGTTCTATTCTATGATAGGTCTATGATAGTTGCATTTTGAGAAGAGATCTCATACTGCTTCTTTGGCAATTCACAGTAATTTGTCCCAAAATGGGACTTCAAACCTGCAGAGGTGCTGGGGTATACAAGCTCTGTTGAGTGGCAGATTAAGGGATGCTCAAGGACCTCAGACACATGCTTTATCTCCCAACAGGGATTCCCATAACGATAGCAAACTTTGTGAGTTTCAAGAACAACAAGAACCTGTGAGATAAATCAGGGCTGTCATGGTATTGATCCAGCTCTGTTGTGATGGTGATCCTGTGGCTCTTCCCACTGCTTGTTCTTGTGTGCCTGCCCACAAATTTCTCATGCTGATACCCAACACCAGGTTGAGACTGTTGATGTGAGCAGGCATGTGGAATGGAGCCCAGCAGTATGCTCTGCTGCTGTCAGTCTCTTCAGCCTCAGATAAAAACCCACCCACTGCAGATCCAGGTCTTTACATGAGTTCTTGTGCTTATCTTGACAAAAGCTTCTAGTGCAACTGAACTTTTGTCGCTCTGTCTCGTAATTAAACATGCTTATAAAGTAAACAGCAACACTGGTTTTTGGAGATAGAATTCGTACTCCACAGGGAGAACTACGGTAGAATTTAAAGGATTGTGTCTGATCTGTTAGTGACAGTTAACCCCAAAACAATGCTTAAAGCAGGATAGCCTTTTCAAGATCGAACTG